CAGTTGGAGGTCCTGATTCGGGCAGGTGTGGGAAGAAGAGTCAAGAGCCCCTTCTTAAAGCCTTACCCCCTCCCCAATTTAGGTAGCAAGAACCTGGCCCACGGACAGCTCCTGAAAGAGTTGATGCAGACACCCAATTTCCGCGTCACGGTGGTGCAGGAGGTGGACACAGTAGAGATCTGTGGGGCCTTAAAGGTGAGAGGGGCACGAGGCAGTGTGGGGTGGGGAGCAGGTCCTGAAAGAAGGCCTAGCTTAGCTGTACAATGTTGCTGGGACTCCAGGTGCTCACCCCCATCCTCCCTGAGTACAGTACACATGGGAAGCACTGCAGAAGCAAAGCCAGGATCACTCAGGCCTGCAGTCGTTTACCTTCAGACTCTGGGCTCCCTTCTTCCTTTCCTCTGTAGCCCCTTGTGGGACACCCTATCCCTGGCTCAAAGGGCTGGTCTGGCGGGGAAGAGGCTGCTGTACCCTGGTGGAGCACCCAGGGTAACGGGAGATGAGATGTCCAGGACACCCAGACAGACTGATGACCAGAACTCTGGCTCCTGGACAGAGCTATGGATGGCTGTCAGGGACATAAAACAGCCATGGATGGGTGGGCCAGGTAGACTAGTTTTCAGGGAAAGTCCTCAAGGATGGAGTATAGCACAGGGCTGGGGAGCCAGGAAGCACAAGTCCAGGCTAAAAGAAGGGAGTGCTGCCAAAGAAGGGAGTGCAGCCAGTGGGGAAACCAAGAGTGGAAGGAGTTGAGGAGCCCACACATCTTCCTTCATTATGAAGGAAGTGGGCATGTCATGGCTGGTGGAAGAAGCACGAGGCAGGTGCTGAGGGTCCCAAGTGGGGCCTGCGGGAGGGATCCTTTCTCACCCATGACTCCACTCTTCAAAGAATATAGTGGCTGTGGGGGCTGGCTTCTGTGATGGCCTGGGCTTTGGCGACAACACCAAGGCGGCTGTGATCCGACTGGGACTCATGGAGATGATCGCCTTCGCCAAGCTCTTCTGCAGCGGCTCCGTGTCCTCTGCCACCTTCTTGGAGAGTTGCGGTGTTGCTGACCTCATCACTACCTGCTATGGAGGGCGGAACCGAAAGGTGGCTGAGGCCTTCGTCCGCACAGGAAAGGTGGGCCCTGGGGAGAATGGAGCAGGGAGGTTGGGCCCTGTAGGTGTTAAGGCAGAGGAACCTGGCTTGTGGCATCTCTTGAGTACAAACATTAAGATTGTTATGAACATTCCCATTTCTTTCCTCTTAAGACCCACCTCCTGCCAGAGCCCCCATCTCTCCATCTCACACTGACAACTCCCCTCTCCCATTTCCATCTGCCTGTCCTATTTTCTTCACAGTCCATTGAGCAGTTGGAGAAAGAGATGCTGAATGGACAGAAGCTGCAGGGGCCCCAGACAGCCCGGGAGCTGCACAGTATCCTCCAGCACAAAGGCATGGTGGATAAGTAAGCGTCTGCCCCAGCCCCACTTGTGAGGGAACAGCAGCCAGAAGTGCTCTCCCCATTTATAATCTTCCTGAACCCTCCTCACTGCCCACCTTGAAGTGGGTAGAGAGGGAAAGGTTGTCTTATGTTTACAGATAGAGCCAAGAGCCTGGAGAGGGTCTGGTGGGCCCACTGTCCCCAGCTAGTGCATTGTCTTTGAATTCTTTCCAGTCTAGTGCTCTTTATACCACATTGCTAGGATGCATCACATGGCCTCCCGCTGTCCTCTGCTGTGTGGGTGGACAGGAATAAGCTTCTGTGACTGTCCGGCCTCTCTGTCCATCACCTTCGGTCTAAGCCACTTCTTTGAGGCCACCCCTTCTGTCCCCGAATACTGTCCTGGGCGGTGAGGTGTGAAGACAAGGACAGTCTTCTTTTCAGGGAGCACAAAGACAGTGATTAGAGAAGAGCTATGTTGATTTGAGAAAGAATCATAGAGCAAGAGAGTTTGAAGCAAGCTCAGAAGATCAGCTCACAATTGGTCAGGTAAAGCTTCCTGGTAAAAGGAGCAGCCTGGGAAGAAGGAAACTGGCATTTACTGAGCACCTTCACATAACTCATAATCATTTCTTCACTACTTTGTTATACTGACTCCCTTTTACAGCTGATGATAGTGAGGCTCAGAGAGGTTAAGTGGCTTGCCCAGTTGGAACAGAAAGTTGATGCTAGGAAATCATGCAGGCAAGTTCAATATGATAGGGAGAAGGGCAATAAGAACCTGACCCTAAAACCCAGGGCTAGGAAATTCAAATTCTTAGCAGTTGGAAATTGAGAACCAGGGTCTGTTTGAGCTTGAAGGCGGGAGAGCAGGGAGTAGAGGGTTACGGGCTGGAGGACTGGGGGCTTGTCTGGAGGCCAAGCTGGCTCTGTCCTTTCCCATTCTAGGTTCCCTCTGTTCACAGCTGTGTACAAGATATGCTACGAGAAACTGCCAGTGGGGGAGTTCATCCACTGCCTGCAGAATCATCCAGAACATGTGTGAGCAGGCCTGAGGCCCAGGCCAGGCAGCCTCTTTATCCCAATGGAGACAGGCAGAAGCTTGGGTTGCCTGGCCCCCAGGATCTCCTGGACTCCCCACAGAGCAGCATCTTCTCAGCTTTTCACTGAGTGACAGGAGGCTGAGGGCCCAGGTTCCTGCCTGGAGATCCTGAAGCAGCCCACCACTTCTCGGCCATCACATCTCACCAGAAATGGAGTTGCCTAGTCCCTCTCCAAACGGGGAGCTTTCTCCCTGTCCTGTGAGAGGGGCAGAATCAGCCCCAGAGTGGCCGGCTTTGGGCCTGTCGGGGGAGGAGGGGAGGGAAAGGGAGGAAAGGCAAGGGCTTCGTGCTGCCTCACAGACCAGAATTCTTGTCCCCATGCCTCAGCTACAAGAGGGGTGAGGCAAGGGCTGCAGGGAGGGGTCTGGGCTTTTGAGCTGATGTGGGCCCCAGGGACCCCTTTGCTCTGACCTCTGCCAGGCCCCACAGGGCATCAATGGATCTCTCAGTGTTTGTTCACAAAATACAAAGATCTCAAACAACCGCCTTCTAGCTTCTCCTAGCAACATCTGCGTCCTCAGAAACCTCTGGTCATCTCCCCTTTCCCCCTCCCCCAGGCTGCCCTGGCACCAGAGTTGCTGCCACGCTGGCATCTCTGGCCATGGGGCTTGTCATTCTCCCTCGGGACTTCCCAGTTCCTAGTTCTTTGCCAGCTCCTCCCCACCATGCGTGACCTTTCCAAGCCTCTCTCAGCCTCCCTGCCAGTACCCTCTTTGGGGAGCAGGAACTTAATCTGCTGACAGAGCTACACCTTTTCATAGCAAACTCAGATCACCCTGCTCTCTGTGACCTTTGTAACTGCTCTGCCTCCCTCCTTGGGAGCTCTAGTGAGGGGAGGTGTTAGTTGGGTCCCTCCTGCTGCTGTCTCCCCAAGACATCTTGGATCCTTACCTCCTCCTAAATCCTATACCCAATTCTCAGCTACCCCTAGAGCAGCCAGGGCAGCTAACCAGCACCTGTACCCGGAGGCCAAGGAGCCAGAGAGTGGGTAAGGGAGGACCCCATCTTGGTCCTGACACTCCAAGCTCAGCTCTCCTTTGTCACCTGAAGGCCTTCTCCTGCAGTATTGACTTCTCCAGCACCTCAGGAGCTGGGAAACTCATGGAGGAGGAAAAACAGTCAAACCACAGTACCCCCTGGGGTGAGAGGAGGAGGGAGAGGTCTGTGCTTTGCTGTGGCCTTGCTCCAGGCTGGAATGGCAGCAGGGGAATGTCCCAGGTCAGCAGCTTGAGCCCCTGGCTATAAATAGAGCCCGAGGGCTCCTGTCACCACAGCAGAGGGTTTCAGCTTCCTGTGTGGCCGGGCCTGGCACACTGTGGCTCTGGCCAGCATGAAGTTAATCTCCCCTTACTTCTGGACGAACCAGGCGGGTGCTTGAGAAGAGGAGTCAGCCTCACCAATGAAGGGCAGAGCTTCCTGGGTCAGGCAGTGAGGCTGGGCCCAGGTCGGGCTCTGACTGGATCCAGAAACTGCCTCTCCAGGAGGTCAAAGTCAGGACAAAATGACAGCTCCTTCCCTAGGCTGCAGCTGCGACCCTCTTGGAGAGTCAGAAACCTTTGCATATTTTTGTTCACTCCACCATTAACTGAAATCTGAGGCTTCTGAATCAGGCCTCCTTGCCTATCAAAAAAATTTTTTGCCTATCCAAAAACAGATTTGCTTTTTCCAGAAACAAGTTGGACAAGGACGCTTAACTGAACGTGGCGGTGCATGTGCAGTGGTGCATCACTACATGCGTATGTTTTCACTCATGCCACAGGAAAAAAGAAAAAAGAAATCTTTCCTCGATTGTCCCGGCCACTCCCGGCCCCTTGCTGGGGTGCCCACGCAGTCCCGCTTTCCCCAAGTGGCATCCCCCCCATCCTTTCCGGGCGCTTCTTTGGGGCTATATCACGCCGCCTGCAAGCGGGGAGGTCACACATGGGACAGAAACATTACGGAAATGCGACCCTTGCGCCCACTCCGTGCCCATGGCCACACCTGCCGCAGTCCTGGGCGGCCCAGGCCTCGTCGGATTCCTACCTGAGCTGGGCTTAAGGGCCGGCGGCGGGGAAGAGGGGAGCTCCAATCTGTAGGGGGCGCACAGTCCCCTCCAGAGGGCTGACTCCGAGAGAACCTACCTAGCTACCGGAGACGTCACTGCGCCACAGGCTGAGCATTGGCTGGTTTCCTTAGAGTCGGAGAGAAAGATCGCCTTTTCTCTGGTGACTGAGTATCCTAAAAGTTCTGGTTCCAGAACTTGGGTCGCCAAAGACCCTGTCTTAGAGAAGAATGACTACAACCCCCAGAAATCAACGGGCCTCTCCGAGAGGAAGACTAGTCTGAGGATGCGTAGTAAAGGCGCCTGACGCGGAAGTCGGAAGTTCAAAGGCGGCAGCCAATCAGAGCTGCGATCGGCGCGGGCTCCCGCCTTCGTGTGCGTGGGTTTTTCTGCGTCCGACGCGCCCGGCTCTACCCTCGTCGGGAGCCAAATTTTAGAGGGTAAGCGGGGCGAGGGGGAGGGAGAAAGGTAGGTGTTCGGCACCAATAGCGCCTCAGCGTTCAGTGTTGTTCCTAGGCCACTATCCTTACTCGTCTGGTCCCTGGTGCCGCTTCCGGCTACGCTCGGAGGTCGCGCAGGCTGGAGGCCTTGGTCGGACGGGAGGGAGCGGCAGCATCCAGGTACGCCCTGTATCAGGCCGGAGCCCAGGCCGCTGGTGTGCTGAGGCGCGCTCGCTGGGGCCGGCCTTTGCTTACCGCAGCCTCGCATGCCCAGTCTTCGGTGTCCTTGAGGTTTCCCGCGTATCGTGCGTTGCTTCTAGCCCGGCATCCTCCTCGCGGCCGTAGGTTTCTGTCAGGCCTTGACGCCACCGCGCGTTTTGTCCTCCACGCTCTGACTCTAATAATTCTGACCCTTTTTCATCTTGTAGTCCGCTGTGCCCTGACATGCAGCCTTCCGGGGCACCCGTTCCTGTTTATCGATTAATTGGCTCCACTCCTTTGTTGCTTTCAATTACTGGGATGGTCTCCCCCTCCCTCTTCACTGACGTAAATCCTCCCAATCCTTCTAATGACTGTTGCCGCCCGTCTCCACCTTTCTGTTAACTTTTCTTCAGCCCTCACTTTGTGTCTGAAGTCTCAAAATGCCTCTTCTGGTCACCGCTGTCTTCTACTTTGTCTAACAGAATTTGAGATGCACAGCTTATCCCCATCAAACCATAAACTCCTTTGGGACAGAAGCCACCTTCTCTGCAGCCTTCATACGTAGCCCGAGTGAAAGGTAGATAAGTGAGTAAATCTAAGCTGACGTGGATGGACACATTTGTGGAAGTGAGTTTTCCAGAGGGGAGAGATCTGAGCTTTGAGGTTCTCCCAAGTTCAGGGGGGCAGAAAAAGAAAAAAGAGCCACAATTTGAAAAGGTTTTTTTAGATTACACCCCTGTGTCATTTTTCATTATGGTTCTTCTTGTTTTTTTCTCTGAAGCCATTCTAACCCTGTAACAGACCCTTGAGCTTTATTGAGAAAGCTGATGCCCCATAGATGAGAAGGTTCTCCTGCTAACCTCAAAAATTTTCATTTTCAGGGTTAATCCTTCTACTTGGACTTCTAATTTCCTCTTTCTCTGGGCCATCCTAGACCTTATTCCATCCCACCCACCTCACTCACCAGTTTCTTCTTTTCTTCTCTGGGAGTTGGTGATGGACAGGGAAGGCTGGTGTACTGCAGTCTGTGGGGTTGCAAAGCTTAGGATCCGACTGAATTGAACTTCTCTGAAAACACTTAAATCTCCTTATCAGTAAGCAAAACAAAACTAGAATTTACTTCACCTTGTGTTACCTTCACAAGCTGCTACTCTGTCATTACCATTCCCTTAACCAGCAAATCACAGTATCGGTTCTTATCTTTGGGGTGAAAGGGGGTTATGATCCTTCTAATCATCTGTTTCTCTCTATCCTAAAAAATGCATAGACATGTTGGGGTTCACAGGCCTTTTCCATTCTGGCCCAGTATACCCGAAAGATAAAGCATACGGCTGTTAGTGGCAGTGACTTGATAAGAGCAGTGATTTTCAACCATCGTCGTGGTCAAATGAAAGAGCATTCCACATGTTTCTGGAATTTCCTGTTTTCCTTCCCTAATTGTTTTCTTTCTTCAAACTGGTGTTCCCTAGACTTCACTCTCTTTGGTTTTATCCTCTTAATTTGGTGTCACTTGATATTTCCTTATGTATCTGTAGCCTAGCCTCTTTCCCAGGATTTGTTCCATATTTGCATATCCATGTGCCTGACAGACATCATCACGTGAATTTTGCATTAAGCATCTTAACTTGATGTCCAATTCATCATCTTGGCTGACGCTTCCTGCCACCAGCACCATACCCATATACACATATAGACACACCTGTTTCTTCTCTTATCTATTAACAGTGTCCCACTCCATAAAGTTTCTTCAGTTGTTAACTTGCAGATACATCAATTTTGCCCTAGCCCATCCAATTAATAAGCCTTGTTCTACTTCCAGAATAATCTCTGCATTGTGTTCTCCTTTTCTACTGCCCTGCTTTAGCACAGGGTCTGAAAAGTTTTTAATTTGAAAATAGAAATCTCAGGTTAGATCAGACAGGAGAAGAGATTCTAGAAAATTTTCATCAATAGATCTTCTATCACTCTTCTAGGCAAGATCTACCATCCGGTTTCCAGCCTTCTTCCTCCAGCTCTGAGAAGAGGTGGTCCTATAAGTGGTTAGCGTCTGGCCAGGGTAATGGGGAATAGGATGAGAAAGAATAAGTCAGGCGGAGTTTGAAGGCTGCCAAGTCTCTTTGCTGGGAGCTTATTACCTTAGTGTCCTGCTGTGTGTGTGTGTGTTTCTCTCACAGCTTAGAGGCCTTTCAAACTTCAAATAACCTGAAAACAGCCCTTTCTTATCTTGCCCCTGTGCCATTTGGTTTTCTTCCTCTGATCTTATTTAATGTTACTTTCAATAGCCACTTGGAATTATGATTCAAGGAAGCTGTGCCTCAGCTCAGTATTGGGATCCACTCTCAAGGACTGGCCTCAAAGACAGTGTTCAACTCATGGGACTGATTTTGAAAAGTAATTAGACATCTTCCCCTACTCGAGATCCCCTCAACCAGCTAATTCTGAACTTCTCTCCTTTCAAATTCTTTACTTTTAAGAAACCTATTCTCGCTAACTGCAGTCAGATTTTTAATTCTCTCAGCAGAGTCCCAGATTGAGGAATATTTTGTTCAAGATGAGAGATTCTCATTTTAAACTTTCTCTTGTTCCCTAGCTCAGAATATCCAGGGAACACTTAAATTAGAAGTAATTTATCTCAAGCAAATGTGAGTTAACAATTTGCTGGGGCCTCAGTAAGTTTATTTTTAGTCCTTGGGATAGGTCCTTGGTTTTATGTTTGAAACTTAGAATTAATGCTGTAGAAGGTTATGTCTAATTGAAACAATGTAAACATACTACTGGCACTGTTTCAAGTATACTGTGGTTTAAACAGATGCTTGAAGACCAACCTGAGAACCTGAGCCATAAATAAGATGATTTTATGGGAAAACAAATTGCATATTGCCCAAAAGGCTCCTATTTGATCCTCCTTGAGAGAATAATATACTGCTAACATTTAATCTCTGGCTATTTCCATTAATTCCTTACTGGCCAGAAAAACTGATGTGTGCCTAAAGTAATGCACCAGTTAAGAACATTTCTAGGTGGTCTATACCAGTCACTTCATTTCATAAACATGGAGGGTCAGGTGTTAGCTGTGGTGTCATTCACATGCACCTGGTTTGAGCTGTGTTTCTGTACCTTCTATGCAGACTTTATTTACCCTTTTGAATCTTAAGAGTTCCCGACAACATACTGAGTATGTGCTGTGCTTAGTCGCTCAGTCATATCCGACTCTTTGTGACCCCATGGACTGTAACCTGTCAGGCTCCTCTGTCCATAGGGATTCTGCAGGTAAGGATACTGGAGTGGATTGTCATGCCCTCCTCCACGGGATCTTCCCAACCCAGGTCTCGAACCCAGGTCTCCCGCATTGCAGGCAGATTCTTGGCCAGCTGAGCCACCAGGGAAGCCCAAGAAAACTAGAGTGAGTAGCCTATCCCTTCTCCAGGGGATCTTCCCAACCCAGGAATTGAACTGGGGTCTCCTGCATTGCAGGTAGATTCTTTACCAGCTGAGCTACCAAACTCTGCATGTGAGTAGGAGCTATTCAGAATAGAGTGCAGACAGATAAGCAGGGGAGGGGGCTGGGCAGATGAGGCCTTATCCTTGGGTCTAAATCCAGTCTGTCTTTATAGGGGACAACATGCCAACTGCCAAGCAACTAGCTGACATTGGCTACAAGACCTTCTCCACCTCCATGATGCTCCTCACTGTGTACGGGGGCTACCTCTGCAGTGTCCGAGCCTACCACTATTTCCAGCGGCGCAGCTCCCAGCGCCAGGCTGCAGAAGAACAGAAGACCTCAGGAGCCCTATAAAACTGGGGGCTTTTTTCCTTGAGCAGAGAGGCCTGAGGCATGCTGTGGAAAGACTGCATCTGCAATCATTTCTGAGTCAAGAGGACCAGGGCCTTAACTGGCTTTCAAACTCTGGAAAATGCCCATGTTTTCTCTGGTACAGCCAGTTTGGAGAGGCTATCGAATCAAAACAGGAATGGGAGGGTGAGACACACCTATAGACATAAAATACTTTGCCATATCTGTGTCTTGGTGCTTTTGTTTACTTGAATAGGGTGTAGACCACAGAGGTGGGGCCTTGACTGCCCGTTTTCTAGTCACAGACTAGAGTTCCATATCTTGGGCTCTGCCTATTAAGTAGTTCTTGGAGTAGTAATCTCCTCTCATAACCTCAATGAAAAGACTGCCCCAGCACCTGTATAAATCCCCTGAGAAGACTTTGTAAAGACAAAGCTCTTTTTTGGTCAGGGGCCGTTTCTGGACCACTTATTATGTCCAAGTGATGGGGTTCTCTGGTCAGCATGGCCACACGTGTCAAAGGAGGCAGAGGCTCTTGTTTAGTAGCTGTATCAAAATTGCATGAAGTAGAAGAGGGATAGTTCTTAAAATGTGAAGGGCTTTGGGCAGCCTGTAGTAATGCAGTCTATCTCCTTAGGGACAGTGGGTATAAGCATCAGGGTTGATTTCTCTTGTTGCAAAGAGGATATGAAAGAACAGCATTTGAGGTAAAACCCAGCTATGAAGAGAGACCATTTCATTTTGAGCTTTGAGGCTGGCTTGTTCACATCATTCTCGGTAATTGCCCAAATAACTTCTGTGGACACCTGTCCTCTGTTTTGCTCTCATGTACACACTGCTCTGACCTTTGTCTCCCTATTCCTAAACCTTTCACCTTAAAGCCCTGTTCCAGGATGTAAAAACTCAGCTTTCCTATATCTTTAGCCCCCTTCCTCTCATCCTCTCTTGACATGCTAATGCAGGACTCCACCGCCTTCTCACTTGCCTGTGCAGTAGGATCACAGTTCTCTCAGCTCCCCAGTGCCATTTCCAAACAGTCCTTTCTGTGGAGCTTTCTTATATTCTCATTTTCACTGTTTTAAAACTTGAAGACTTCAACTCTTTGGATTCCTCCTCTTTTCTTCCCATCTGTTCCTTTTTGGCCAGATTGGCTTCCCTGTTCAGCCTGTGCCCAGCCAGTCCTCTTAATAGCGCCCCCGCCTCCAGCCTTACCCTCAGCCCCAGACCTTGTCCCATTAGTTACCTAATTCACCCTCTTCCTCCTCCTCAGTAGATAAGCTTGCTTAAGTGGTAGTTCCTAATTTAAAAGACTGGTTTGATTGAGAGAATTCATATTAATACTCTGGTACATGACAGTAAGTGTCAGCTATTCACACCTGCTGCTGACCTCCACACCTGCATTTTCCAGGTTGACCTTTTGAGCTTCAGATACAACCAGTTGCTTGCCATATCCACTCAAATCTATAGTCCTCTTACATGACATGTCCACAACTAAGCATTCCTTCGTATCTCCAGGACCTACTCGTGTTTTTTCCCCCTTGTTTTCACTGTCATCTATGTCAGGAATATAGGGGTCTTATTACATTATCCCCTGTGTCCTACTGCCAACCAAGTAATTGTCTTACTAATTTTCATCCGTTTGGTCAGTTCTACCCTTGTCATTTCTTGCTTACACTTTTGCAGAAGACTTTTAGTTCACAGTTCCAATCTTGACCTCATCAGATCTGCTGCATTGTTATCTGATAATTAGATCTATATTGGCAACAAAGGGAGATCATGGCATTCTCCTGCTTCAGATCCCCTATGAAGCTCAACCACAGACATCTGGTTAAGAATCACTGACCTAGGGACTTCCCTGGTGGTCCAGTGGCTAAGACTCCATGCTCCCAATGCAGGGGGCCCAGGTTCAATCCCTGGTCAGGGAACTAGATCCCTTATGCTGCAACTAAAGATCCCACATACTGCAACGGAGATTGAAGATCTTGCATGCCACAACTGAGACCCAGCGCAGCCAAGTGAGTTGAAGCCCTCACCTATATGGTCAAGTCCAAACTCCTTAGTATGGTGCATCCTCAAGACCTTCAGATTTGACCCACCTTTACGTTCCTACCTCACCCTTTGTGTTCTAGCAACATCAACCCCCCCTGTGTGGTTGCATGTTGTTTCTTGTCTCCATGCTTGTTCATGCTTTCTCTTTAAATGGAACCTCCTCTCCATCTTACTGTATCCTTTTTACAAAAAGGTTTCTCTGACCCTTCACCCCCCCCATGCTGGGCCAAATATATATAGAAGACACCACTTTTTCTCTGAAAAAAAAAAAAAAATCTTTAAAAGTACGGATAGCTAAGACAATTTTGAAAAGAAACAAAGAAGATGGGTTGGGGCTACCAGATACCAAGACACTATAGAAAGCTAATAGTAATTAAGTGTTGTGATATTAGTATAGGAGCAGACAAATAGACCAATGGCATAGAAAAATAAACTCATGTGTGTGTGTATATATATATATGAGAAATTGAATACGAGAGAATATATCACAAACCCATGGGGAAACCCATAGTCTGTTATGGATACAAATGTTGTAAAAGTATAAAAAATGGATTGCGAGTACAATAGTCATTATATTGGGGATGAGGTCTTGTGGAACAGTAGAGGCTGAAGGAGGCCTTATATGGGAACTGTTTCCTCTATTCACAAAACTTTGAACACCAGATAATGTTTTTCCCACACCAATCAATGTTCCAACTCACCAGACACTATGTCCTTAGTTCAATTCTGCCACTAAGTTACCTGGAGTTAACACAGACACCACAGGTTAAGGGCCTCAATCCCAGAAAACTACCCCCAACTTGAGATATCATTCATAAGTAGTGGGTCTCCAGATTACCCACTTTTGCCTGACAGCTATAGATCCATTCCCATGACTCCTGCTCAGGCTTGACAGTTTGCTATGATGGCTTATATAACTGGACTCAGAGAAACTATTATTACCAGTTTATTATAGAAGATAGCACTCAGGAGCAGCCAAATGGAAGAGATGCCTAGGGCACAGCACCCTATCAGCACCTCAGTGTGTTCAATCCAGGAGCTCTCTGAACCCCACTGTTAAAGAGTTTTAATGGAGGTTCCATTATATAAGGATGATTGAATCATTAGTCACCTAATTAGCAGCTCTACCCTCCCAGGAGATCAAAAGAGTAGGGCTGAAAGTTCCAGCCTTCTAATCTGTCTTGTCTGTTTCCTCTGGCAATCAGCTTCCATCCTGAAATGATCCAGGGGCTCACCACGAGTAATCTCATTAGCAAATAAAGACACATCACTCTGCAGATTTCCAAAGGTCTTAGAGGCTCTGTGCCAAGAACCTGGGACTAAGACTAAATATATATTATATCACATCACAGGTCTCTTAATTTTTTCTTTTACAAATAAGATTTGAAGTAAGACAAAATGTTAGCGGTATTAATTCTGGGAATTGGAAATATGAGAGCATGTAACATTATGTTTTTTTATTCCAGTTTCTCAAAAAGTTGAGAGAAAAATACTTCTGATAGCTTCCTATTATTTACTACAGAGGTTCTCAGCAGAAGTGGCACCCGCCTGCCCCCCCCCCCCCACACACACACACACACACACACACACACACACACGACAAAGGTGAAAGTGTTTTGACTGTCGCAATGATTGGAAAGCATCTCTGGCATTTGGTAGGTGGAGGCCAAGGATACTATACTTCTTACAGTGCCTGGGATAGTCTTGCACAAGAAACTGTCCCAAGTCCTACACAGCTATCATATGTCCCCATAAATATTTAAGTGAAAAAACAATTTATAATTAGCTGAGCATATAACCTCACACAAAGTATTTTTGGTACAGTTTTTGGTATACTCTGAATTCTCTAGGTATGCAACTACTGTATAAATGAAGGGGAGATTGTACAGTATTTGTTTTATTTAGAACTTTTGTTCACCATTTAAAAAAAGCATTTCACTGATGGCAGAGCCTGTTCCCAGCATTTGGCTCTCTGACAAAACACAGTAGTATGTCTCCATTTGTAGCCCTTGTATTCATGGTGAATGTACAAAAGTGCAATCATCTGAGTGCTAGTATAACTATGCCCAATATTTATGTATGGAAATAATTTTATTATAAATTCTTTTTAAAAAGTATCCTTTATATTACTGTAGGATATTATTCTGATTTTTAAAAATTTCATGTGCAGTAAGTTAAATGTTAATTGCATTTAAGGATAGTAAAGTGAGTGTTACAAATATTTGTTATACAAAGTAGATGGTTTAGAAATAATCCATTTATACTTGGTTGATATTTGCTATGGTACTGCAATAGTGGTTCAATTCATTTCAACTTGGCTAGGCTGGGGTGCCTAGTTGTTTTGTCAAACATCAATCTGGATGTTGCCGTGAAGGTATTTTTTAGATGTAATGAACATATCAGCTGACTTGGAGTAAAGCACATTGTCCTCCATAATCTGGATGGGCCTCACTCAATCAGCTGAGGCCCTAAGAGCAAGGACAGAGTTCCTAAAGAAGGAATTCTGCATCAAGTATGTAAGATATAAACCTTACTTGAGTTTCCAGCCTGTGGATCTTACCTCACCCAATCAGCTGAGGCCCTAGGAGCAAGGACAGTTTTTAAAGAAGGAATTCTGCATCAAGTCTGTAGGATATAAACCCTACTTGAGTTTCCAGCCTGTGGATCTTAGAATGTAACATCAACTCTCACCTACATTTTCAGCCTGCTGGCCTTCTCTACAGATTTCAGACTTACCAGTCCCTACAACTGTATTAGCCAGTTCCTTGAAATAAATCTTACTCTCACTGTTATTCTCTCTCTAATGTATTAGTTTTGTTTCTCTGGAGAATTCTAACAGAGTAGCAATATATAGTATTTCAATATATATCTGTCCAGTCTTATTTCCTGCCTAGGTTCAGTCCTCTCCTACCTCATTTTCACTTGGAGTACCTACTGTCTTTTCAAATACAGCTTGTCAAAACCTAAATTCAAGCAGTTGTTTGATATTTACTGAGCATGAACTGTATGTATTTAATGAAAAAGAATTAAAAAAATAGACTTATGTGCTGTCAAATTAAGATGAAGGAATATAATTAAGTTCATTGGTTATTACACTAAGTATCAATGGACTGAATTCTCTCATTTATAGACAAAATCTAATAGATTTGGGCTAAAAAAAGTCCAAAATATATA